TCGTTTTGGAGTGTGATTTGGGTTCGGGCTCGACTTCTTGTATAGGCCTTGTGGCAGTTTCGGGAGCCATCCCTGGACTTGGATTATCCTCTGATATTGACTGTTCTCCGCTGGTTCGAGCTGACTGACTTGCTGTGGAAGGGCTTATTATGATAGCTGTGTTTTCCTTTTCTGGTTTTGTTGTAGATTGGTTTGTTGTTCTAGTTTAGTGTGTAAGTATCTGTGTTTGTGTTTGTCGTTGTGTTTTAGGTCTGGGCCGTTGGCCTCTGTGCACCCGAGTGTCATTTTCATTACTCTGTGGGGGTCCGACACTCGGGAATTACCCTGTTGGGGTCTTGTGTTTGTTTTTTTGTCGTTGTTTTGTGTGTTTGTTTTTAGTGTGTTGCCGAGTATTCTAGCATTGCTAGTTTTCGGATCTAGGCGGTCTTCGGACCTGTCCTCCCAGTTTTCTCAGTCGTCGGTTGTATTATTCAGCTAGTGGCTGTACCTTTGCACATTTGTGCGTTTATATATAAATCCTCTATCGTTTCGACCAAAAAAAAAAAATTGTAATGACATTATGTTGTTTTGATGCAATACTTTTTGTATTAATTAGATAGTGCTCTTAACATGAAATTATTTTGGATTCGCCACTGCAGCTAGTTTTTCAATGGAACTTTCATTGTTTTTCCCAATTTTAGTGACAATTTTTTTAATGGTTGAAATATGGCCGAAAAAAAAAATCCAACATAAATTCACACAAAAATAAATATTAGTAATTGTGATATTAAATCCACAAAAATTTCAATGTAATTCAATTTACTCACCATTGGAATAGCCAGTGAATCTTTTCAATAGAAACTATACCAATGAAATATTTGTTGGTATTTTATGTGGAATACCTTACTGTTGGATTTTTCATTATAATATGGAATTTTTTTATTCTTTCATAATCATTAAAATGTTTTGTAGTAATTTTTTTATTTATTAATTGTGTTTATATTTTTTCTTTTAAAATATATTAAAACATCTACTTTTTAGTCCATATAATTTTCTTACAAGTCACTCGTTATTTTATGTTGAGATTATCTATTAATTTCTCAATTGAATTACTTTCCCTACATATTAATGGAAATAAGTATTATTTTTATATGCAATATAATATTTATATATTATATTAAAAAAGCTAATAACAAATAAAAAATTATTTAAATTTACAATAATCAATTTATTTTTAAAAAATTAAAATCTCTAACCTACATAGATTAAAGTACAAATAATTATTGTCAATAACCTAAAACTTACACCTATAATTAATAAGCACAAAAAAAGTAGCAATCGTGCTCGTTTACATCGATATGTACAAGTTTTAAAAGTTTTATAGTTATATTTATTAATTATAACATTTTTAGTTATTACTTTTTTTCATATGTATTAGTAAGTATTACAACTTAATTATATATTTAATATTATGTATCAAATTTAATATTTTCTTACTTTATATTGTTCTTTCACATATATATATATATATATATATATATATATATATATATATATATAACTTTTAAATTTGTTAAAAAAATACATAATACTAAGTATATAACTTTTTTTGCTCATATGTCTTATTATATCTATTATAATTGTACATCTTTATATTATATTATGTATAATTACAATTTTCTAATTAATATTATTATCAGATATTACAAAAAAAAAGATATTTTGTACATTTTTTAATAAAGTTGATTTATTGTAATAATAAATATTAATAGATAGGTGAGTAATGGTACTATATCGATATAAATTCTTGGTAAAAATAATTAATTTTCAACGTATATAGGCATATCATGACTCACTATATATTTTTAATTAATTTGAAGATAATGATGGATTAAAGTACAAATAACTATTGTCTATCACATAAAACTTACACTTAGAGTTAATAAGAACAAAAAATTAACAAGCGTTTAATAACACCTGAATTGCGTTAAGAAATTGAATCCACCAAAAAGCCAATATTAGCTCTCTTAATTCCTCTAATAGTGACTCAACTCGTTTACATCGATAAGTACAAGTTTTAAAAGTTTTATCTTTATTTTTATTAACTATAACATTTTATTGTTACTTTTTAATATTTATTAATAAGTGTTACAACTTAAACGGATTTTTAATATTATTTGTCAAATTTAATATTTTTTTCCTTTATATTGTTATTTTATATGTTTATATATGTGTATACATATATATATATATATATATATATATATATATATATATTACTTTTATATTTGTTAAAGAATACATAAAATTAATTATGGAACCTTTTGAGTCATATGTCTTATTATATATCAATTAATTGTACATCGTTCTATTTTATTATATATAATTATAATTTTCTCATTCATTACATGAAAATAGAAAGGTTGGGTTTTAGTATTATACATTTTCATAAAATTATTCTAACCTTACTTTAAGCAAAGAAATTGGATTGATTAGAAGTTTCGATTGCAAAACAATCATTCAACAATTAATCTCTCATACTATTACAAAAATTATTACTTTTTATAGGTTATTTTGAAAGAAAAAAACTGTTTCTTTACTTTATGGGTGTTATGAGGACAACATTATGAATTTCAATTTTATTACTTATAATTATGAATAATAGATGAGTAATGGTGATATATGATATAATTATTGGTAAAAATAAATAATTTTCTGCGTATAGGCATATCACGATTCTTTAGATATCTTAATTAATTCGTAGAAAATTGTATGATCAAAATAAAATCATGCTGCTCAACTAATATCCCATCCGACATGAAAAAATTGGACCGGATTTTAGTATTATATAATTTCATAAAATTATTCTAATCTTATTTTACGTAAAGAAAATTGAGTAGATTAGAAGTTTAGGTTGCAGAATAATTATTCAAAAAATTATATCTCATATTATTACATAATTTATTCATTTTTTTATATGTTATTTTGAAAAAAAAAATATTTATATAGTTTGTGGTCGTTATGAGGACAAACAACATCGATTTTAAATATTTTACTTATAGTTATTAATAAACTTGTATAATTAAATAAATATTGTTGAAACAGTTATCTTATTTGATAGGATACTTACGGTTAAATAAACTCTTAAATTTTATTGAGAAGATCATAAAAGTATTTAAGAATCTTGAACAATATCAATAAATAAAATATTTTATTTATAAAATTTTGAATTATAATCGTTTATAGAGCGCTCAACTTGAAAATTAATTGCTCAAATAAAAAAATAATAATAATAATAATAGTTAAAATGTCATGAACATTTTTATTAATAATTGAATGAAAAATTTCAAATAATTTAAGTCTTAATAATTAAAAAATTACGCAACTTGATATTAATCACCTAATGGTCACGTGAAGATTCGTTAACTCTATTAGCTTTGCGACCATTTGAAAATACAAACCACTAAAATATGACGATTTTTGTTGGATCAAAATTCAATCCAATAAAACTAAGGTGCAATCTAATTCTAGTTCTAAATACAAGAGTTTATTTTTCTTAAATAATGATCTAGTTAAATGAATTCTTCCATTTTTCTAGTTTGTTAGATTATGTATATATTTCACGTGTGCATGATTTCGGTAATATTTTAGGTATCTTCTCTTAATTAAAGTTATGTATGTATCTTGGAAATTATTTATTATATAAAATTCACCTCTCAACTAAGTTATCATGTTTTACCAAGATTTATCGTTTTGCTAAAAGATAGGTAACAAATAGTTGAGAATATTTAGATCTTTTATAAATATTTATTATGTTGTTTTTGTTGCATAATTTTTTGTTTAAATAAATTTTATATATTAAAATCATTAAATATGATTACGATTTTATCATCAAAATTATATAAAAAATAAGGATGTTATTCAAACAAAAATTCAATATCATTTCAAAACTTTGTTGTTTAGATTAATGTTGAGTTGATTTTTTAGAGATATTGAAGAGAACGGTTTGGGAGATATGTGGAAGAAACCAAATTCTTGAAGAATAATGGTGTGAATATTGTGGTTGATTTTTAAGAGATGTGGAATGTTTTGTTCATTTAATTGTATTAAATGAATAAAATATTAAATGAGAATTAGTGTATTACTAATTTGAGATTAAAAATATGTCAAATAAAGGGGATTTTAGGTAAATATTAGTTATTAATAAAAAAAAATATAAGATGGAATATATATTATGTTATTACTAATTTGTCATTAAAAATATACCAAAGTAAGGGTATATTAGTTAATTCTTTCTTTTACAAAAACACTCGTCCTTTTATAGTAGTATTTTGAGTTACCGTTTTAGTTAGCACAACATTTAGACATTGAATATAATAAAACATGTGGACTAAATATTACATAAGATTATTTTGTAGATATTGTTTACAAGAACCAATTTGTTTTGGTGGACTTCTGTGGAAGAGTTATTTTTTTTCCAACAGCTACTTAGCTAAGAGAATCATAACAATTTCTTCAAAGACTACCACAATCTCCATCATTTTTAGTAAAATTTAGAATTATTTGAGTCATACTTTGGGCGTGTATCGTAATAGTTTTCAATGTTGCGCCGTTATTTATTTAATTAAATATTAGTGATTAACTAAAAAATATAAGATTTGAAGAGTATTAGTGTATTACTAATTTGCCATTAAAATTAAATCAAAGTAAGAGTTTTTTAGGTAGTTCATTTATTAATTAAAAATATAAAATAAGATGGGTATTGTTGTATTACTAATTTGCCATTAAAAATATGTCAAAGTAAGGATTTTTTAGGCAGATCATTATTTTTACAAAATCACTCATCCTTTTATAATAGATATAGATATAGATAGATGGTATTACCGTTCCATCTTTTAGGAACTTACATTGGCAAAGCAACCCAAATATTGGATCTGATAATAGTATTACACAAAGCAAATACAAGCAACATCAAATTAATGAATGTAGTTAAGAATCTCGGAAAACTGAAAAAGAATATATCTCTACAAAGCCAAAAATGTAGAGGCACACATTTTAGGTGCAATATGATTGATAATTTGATATTTAAATTTATTTTTACATGTATATGTGCATATGTTCATGGATCCAAATTGTGAGACTCAGCCTTTGTACTAACAACAAAACCATTTATGACTCAACAATTACAAGACATGATTTTGCCACAATCCATTCAAAAGCAGAACCTACAACATATATATCCCAACATGGGGAAAAAAGGTTGGCATTTGAATTTAGACCTATGCTGAAATAATTATGAGACTATGATAGCAGGACACCTTGTTCAGGAGCTCCCCTTGGACTTGCAGTTCTGCAAAACAAAATCATTCAAAAAATAAATAGAAAACACATTATATCAAGAAAGGTAGTGACTAAAAAACTAGAGACAAACAGAAAAAGAACAAATTACTAAATTGTTTCATTCTAATATACAAGTTTAGCATGCTCATTAATTTACCACAATCTTAAGGTTTTCACTTGACTCTTGCGCATTTGTACCAGAGGCTGGAAAAACTCTCCAAGAAATACAACCCGTTAGTGAGGCTTCACCTCCAAAAGGTTGTAAGCCTGCATACATTGTAGAACAAAAAGAGAGAATAAACTACAAATTTAATGAAGACATCGAGACTAGACGATTACATGGAAAAGGTTAAAACAACCTAAGAACAGACATGCATGACGAAGTAAAACTATTCACAGCAATTTTGAAAAAGTAAAATTAAATTCAACGTCGGCCCGAGCTCTCATCATCGAAGGATTTTCACCCAACGACAAGGTGTACCGCTTCATAAGCTACGTTCCCAATGACGGAGTCCTCTACGAGCTCGACGGGCTCAAGGAGGGCCCTATAATCCTCGGCCCTGGGCCCAAATCATGCTCTCATAGCACACGCACAACACAGACACACACACAAACCCACTACTCACAGAAACCGAAATTCCAAATAACCAACATCGTAGAAAATTATACTGCTTAAAGTAATCACGATATAATCCAATCTTAGGATTCACAACACAACAATAATTTAAAGCTAAATCCATAAAAATAAGTGGAAATATTTTCGAGCGAGGGCAAATCAAAATAGCTCCATTCGGGTAGTTGTCGCTGTTGGGCTCTGCCAGGTGTCGGGCTCCATTAGGGGAATTGTGCCTCTTGTGTTCTCCAAAGATGAGGAGCCATGCTGGTAAATTATAAAGAATGTGGCTTATGTTTATTCTGAGATCTAGGAACAGTTCACAAGGTTTACCAAGAACAGCACTTCAGAGATCAGACCCCTAAAAGTACATGTTTTCACTGCAGCAGCTGAGCTAAGGGATTATGACTTTTAGATGCTACATGTACAATCCATAGGTCAGAGCTGGTACAGATGTGCTAAATGAATTCATTTTCATGGACCAGCCAGAGAAGAGGCTTCTTAAAGTTACAAGCAGAATAGTCCAGCATGAATTTCAACTTATGGATTTGAAACCCATTTCATAATTGTTGGAATATCACTTTCAGCTCCTTTTTAACACTTCCACCATTAATTTATAGGTCAACAATAATATGCCCACACCGTCACACCCAAACAAATGGAAAAATAACTCATTTATTATTCCAAATGATTTAAAGCATAATTCAGTAGTTCGTTCAGAATATAAATGTGAATGAATATAAATGGATGATTAAAGAGCATCATTTAGGGTAAGACTGACGTTGAAAAGGAGAAGCGCAAGACATCAGAAAACATGCGAACACATCATAAAACATGTAAGCATATCAGGCATGTACAGGAATGGAAAACATGTAAGCATATAATCATTAATGGCTACTCACATTAGAAAACACGTAAACATATCAGGCATGCACAGGTTTGGAGTAAGTGCAAGACTAAATGGCTATAAAGCATCCAGAAAAGTACATATTCAACATCGACACCATGACTGAAGTTGGCTTTTTCATGTCAATAGTTAACACTTTATACGTGAGCAGATAATATCCAACGCCCTTGAATTTTTTCATAACATGTAGAATGCAGATAACCAAGAGTCTATGGCAAAGGATGCTGGAAAGACCAACCTGGCAACAGGATCAATCTGCTCCTTGACCTGAATTCTTTCTTGGTCTGTCATCTGCTTACAGAGATCATCAAGAGAAAAAATGTATGGGGACAGAGTTTGCGACACTGAAACAAAAAGCATGTCAAAAATCACGCTGTTTCTCCGTGCTTCTTCTTCCTGCATTAAGGAAATCAGATAGTTGGTACAATTTTCACATACCAAACCAGATTTTATTCTAGAACCGAGTGACATACTATGCCGTAAGCTTGTGCTCTATCGTTGCTACCTCAGCTAGTAAACGTTGCTCATCAATGAAAGGCCATTTGGCAACACCCTATTCTGCTTATACCATTCATACTGATTTTTGATAACCCTTACCAGTTTGCCACTAATGATACACTGTCAACTCCCTGAGACCAACAACCACTCCAGAAGAAAATATTCATAACAAAATGACTTAAAAAGTTACAAAATATTACATTAATCACTAAACTTCTTATGCAAACTCAGTCCTAACTTATTCTCAAATGCTCAAAAGTGCATATTTTGAGAACCTATAACAAAATAAGGAGGATAAAAAAAAAGAAACCCCATGACAGAAAATGGAGAACCTAACCATATTATCTGTAAAACTGAGAATTGGGGCACGCATCACCAATAGTCACCACATGAGCAAAACCCGTCTCTGAAGTGATGAAAACGATTCGAGTCCCTCACGATAATTTCCCTCTCCATAACTTTAGATATCAGTTTCGTCACATTGTGGCAGTCGCCACAAACCCGCAAATTTTTGTATATCCTTATAGTGCTTTTAGGTGGCGTATTAAGAATTCCGTACACAATAGCCAACCTCTCGCTGTGGCTGGAGAGAATATTCTCTTTCTCGTCATCTTCTACATCTTGAAGCACAAAACTATAATCTGGGATATAACCGAGGCTTTTCAATTTAGAATTTAGTAAAGCTAGTTCCTTGTATATGTCCTCACTCTGAGGATGAGACCGGCTGCCGGAATAGAAAACCTCGAGTTCATTATTTAATTCGACCGAACTCCACCCTGGCGTTTTCCACAAGCCGCGATCCCGGGCCAATGACCTTACTGTGTCGACCCCTTCCCACCGCCCAAAGTTTGCGTAAATATTCGACAGTAAAACGTAATATCCGACATTTTCCCGGTCGAGCTCGAATAACTGGCAGGATGCCTTTTGACCCATCTCAACATTTCCATGAACTCGAGAGGCACCAAGAAGAGCGCCCCATATTGAGGAATCGGGCCTCACAGGCATGGTTTCAATAAACTTGTATGCTTCTTCCAATAGCCCGGCCCGCCCAAACAAGTCAACCATGCAGCCATAGTGCTTTAAAGTGGGCTTCACTCCATATTCTTGCTCCATGGTGTGAAAATACCGTTTTCCCTCGTCAACAAGACCCGAATGGCTACAAGCTGTCAATAAAGATAAGAAAGTCACCTCATCGGGATTCACTCTCTCACGCAACATGTCGTGAAAAAGTCGGACAGATGTTTGACCAAGCCCGTGAAGCCCGTGGCACGATATTACAGCATTCCAAGTTACTGAAGTTTCTCTTGGCACCTCACGAAATAACAGCATAGCTTCACGAAGTCTACCACATTTTCCGTATAGATCAATAAGACAAGTGCCCACATACATATCCACGTCAAGGTTTTGTTTAAGCACCAGACAATGGATTCTTATTCCATCTCTAAGAGCTCCTAAATGAGCATAAGCTGGTAAAACTGACACCCACGTTCCTTGGTTAGGCTTCAGATTATCTTTTTCTTTCATTGCTCGATACAAGTTAATGGCCTCACTTGCGAAGCCATTTTGAGCATAACCCGCGATCAGTGTGTTCCACGAGATTACGTCTTTAAAAGGAAGTTGCTCAAAAGCCCGACGCGCGGAATCCAAAATGCCTAATTTCGCGTACATGTCGACGATGCTATTTCCAATTATGGTGTCTTTTGTGATCCAGCATCTCCTGATAACAAATCCATGAATTGATTTGCTGCGTAAAATATCTCTTGTCTGAGCAAGGCATGAGGATAGGCTCACCAGTGTCAACGAGTCAGGTTGGACTTTATTTGACTTCATCTCGTGAAAAAAAGCCAGTGCTACCTGTGGACAACAACGTTGCTCGTATGCTGCGATTATGGAGTTCCAAGTAACCAAATCCCTAACGCCCATTTGATCGAAAACATTTCGGGCGCAATCCATGTAGCCAAATTTGGCATACATGTTGATCAAAGCATTAGAAACAAAGATGTTAGATTCCAAACCGTGCTTTATCGTGAATAAATGGATCAACATGCCGCATAATGAATCATTAGTTTGTGCACAAATTGCGAGAATAGTCGAGACAGTCACCGCGTTAATTGCTATGCCTCTCAGTATCATCTCATCGAAAACTGCCAATGCCTTTTTATGATTGCCACTTTGACAAAATCCTGAAATCATGGAGTTCCAGCATCCCATGTCCCAATATGGCATATTTCTGAAAATCGTATACGCACGACTAGAAAACCCGAAACGGCAGTACATATGCACTAATGAAGCAGCCACAAACACATCACACTCAAACCCCAATTTCAAAACCCAGCAATGAAACAGTGCCCCATCACATAAAGATTTACAAGCTTTCAAGATAGGGGGGAAGGTGTAGAAATCAGGTCGAACATCAGTGCTTGACAGCATTTCAAACACACATTTTATTGCTTCATCAAAATGGGAATTCCGGACATAAGCTGAGATCATGGAATTCCATGTATAGGAATCCTTTCTAGAGATTTGATCAAAAGTGTCCCTGGCCAAGGAGACATTACCGAGAAAGGAATACTTGTTGACGAGCCTTGTAGCATAAAAAAAGCTTAGGGCTTTGCCTGACACAATAAGAAGAGCATGAACGCGCCTTGTAACCTCAGATGTCGTGCAAGCATTAAATAAATGCTCAAAGTTAATCTGTCTACTTGTTTCATCAGCAAAATTTACCAAGTTGCTAAGGTATCGCACACCATGAGAATGTATCAAGTAAAAACTTGAGGATGATAAAGGCTTTGAAAAATTCCCACCCCTGCAGATTGATCTACATCTGCATATGAGGAAAATAACTGAAACTTGTTAATAAAGATGGAAGTCATATTCCACAATAGAAACTAAAAATGCATATACATGGTAAAGGAAAGAAAAGATGTTCTTGATGACCCGACTCACAGAAGCATATTTCTCAACTCTTCTGTCGGCTCCAAATGAATGCCACAATATACAACCAAATTAAACAACCACATGAGAGTTGGTATCCAGAAATATTATGTATAGTTTAAAACTTCAAACAGTTCGACCATAACTCAAATATCTATAACATTACCCACAGGTTAACAATTTATATGGACACAGAGTTGTGTCTTTGTGTGTGTGTGTGTGTGTGTGTGTACAGAGAGAATTGAAAGAATAGGCTAGAAGTTTTGCATTATAACTCTTTTTAGGCATTTGGCAGAGTTTATTTAAAAGCTAATATGGGCTCTCTATCATGTAAATGTTTTTCAAGAAATATACAAAGGTGGAAATCATTAGAGGCAGATGCTATATCATTTTAAAAGTTGCGACAAAGACCAAAGTTCATGGCATATGCTACATCCAATTCAACCAGACATGAAATTTGGACAGTTCTAACCTTAGCTTTTGGAATAGCACCATTTATCACTTTTCTTTATTCTTTTCCGGCATCCTGAATCAGAAGAGAAACAACACAAAGTCTTATCATCACAATTCATCATCCAATTTGCAACAAAATAAATAAATAAATGCAGAACCATTCAATATAAAAGAATCCAATAATTCAAATACCAATCAAAATGTAATACAAGATGAAATCTGAACTTCAGAAGAAATTGAATGTTCCCTATACCAGTGTTATCACTGGGGGGTGGCGTGCCATAGCAGAAAGCCAAAGCCAAAAAACCGCCATATATCTATGGAGGACCCAAAAAAATTACACATACACACATAACAATATAACACAAAACATGTAAATAACTCCTTTGTTTTTCAAAATGAGATTAGTTTCACAAAATAGAAAATACAATCATCATTCAACAAGTTCAACATAACCACACACATGAAAAAGTAAGAGAACACATGATAACCATTTAACAGACTTTAAACCAAAAGCAATGATTAAAAGCGAATCAAACACAGATTATAAGGCTGAAACTAAGTTATCCAACCTACACCTAGTGAACAATCATTATTGACCAGAATAAATAATTTAATATAATTGTTTGTTGATTATTATCTCTAATGAATCACATTTGTTTTATACAAAGTAAATGTTTCAGACGAAAAAACTTGGTCTTCTCCTTCTGTTTACCATCCATCCATCCAACCCGAAAAGGAATACGTAAGTAAATTCCCAGAGATTGGGTCGCCTGTGTGGTGGTTCGCCGGAGAAAGGGTCGCCTGTGGTGGTTCGCCGGAGCCGGGGTTCTCTTTCTCAATTTCTCTCGCTGTTTGGATCGCTGGAATACAAACGAAAATGAGTATATTGTCAAAAGATTGGGATGTCGTCCGACCAATCTTCATCTATCTTGCGGACGACTATTCAGCGACGGATGCGGCGGCCGGCTGCAACGGGTCGGGAACATCTTGCACTTTGTCGACCCATGATCCATTTCTATCGATAACTTTTAACCAAAGATTAACCCTAGTTGCTCAATTTCGAGCGATCCTTGTTGACAAAGGAATTAATAAATTTGGAGTAATTTAAGTAGCCGGTAACATTTACATAAATATTTAACTTTTAATAAGATTGCACTGTTATTCCATCTCTTGTTTGTTAGCTTGATAGGGTTTTGTTTGAATAAATACTGAAATTAGTGAAATGTCCAAAATGTACAAATAATATTTTATTCTCTTTCTTGTTTTTCTCTCCATTCTTTCCTCTATCCTGCCTCACCATTTCCTTTTCATTTTCGTCTGTACTTCACCAACTTATTTCCATTTTTTTCTCTTTTCATTTATTTCGCTTCAGGTTGATAGTTTTATTTTTTATCTCCCATTTTTTCCTTTATCCTTTTTTTTTTCCTTCATTTCTTCATCAATGTTTCTTTCTTTTCCTCCTATGTTATCATATTTTTGTAGTTGCCCGATGTTTCTTCTTCAATGTTTCTAGTCCAATCACAAAGGTCTTACCGAGAACTGTCAATTGAAGTGTAAGTTGCCCGATGGAGGCGGAACCGTTGAAGATCCGAACAAGCGGTGGGGTGGGGGAAACCAATATTTGAGATTGAAGGTGTCTTGATCTACAAGTTTTTCTTGCTATAATAAAAAAATCGAGAAATCAAACATTGACACTCCCGTCATTTTTCTTGCTATAATAAACTTTCTTCTTCTTTAATGTGTACAAATTCTCGGGGCTGCCTGGCGGATGGAGACGGTGGCGCCCTACTCGGCGGCCGACGACTGGTGTTGTTGTGCCATCGGCGGGACAAGGAGGATATGAAAGAAAAAATTAAATGATGGAAAAAAATGACAAATTGGAAATCAACTCAAAATTGAAGCTCTTCTGCCCTAGATCCATGGTTGCAGGTGGAGAAATTTATTTCTAGAGTTAAATAATTGAAAGATGAATTGAAGATGAAAAAGTCCAGAAAAGATGAAAGAAGAAAAAATTGAGAACTATGGCAGGAAAGAAAAAAAAAATAGTGAAAAAGAGTCCAGAAAAGATGAAAGAAGATGAAAAGGGTGGAGTGCGGGGGTAAATTGGTCATTTCCTTATCCTGTAAAGTTGGGATAAAAAATATCTCACCTCTTCCTCAAGATTGAATTATCTTACATACTCAAGATTAATTTATTTAGTAGCGGGCCAAAGTTTTTTTTGCGGGCCTGGATCTGTCTCACCAAACATAGGATAAGGCCGGGATTGAGGGTGTTATCCTATCTAATCTACCCTATCAAACACGTCTTTATAGGATTTAAATAGATGAAGACATCTAATCATTTCAATGAACTTAAAAACTTTTTAGTGGAGCTTAAGCAAACAAACAAGAGGTATGCAGAGCAATGCACTCAAATAATTAAATAAATGAACTGGTTCATATAAATCGAACGGGGCACTACATTATGTGTCCTTTTACATACTAGTAATAACAAATTTATGAAGGCAATTTTCATATGGTAAATAAATGACAAAGATACTACTAAATATTTTTTATCTAATACTAATACCATGATAAATAAATCTAACATCACAAGGAACTAAAATAGAAATAAGAGCAAGGAGTAATCTTCCTTTTTAATTTGATTTGCTTATCTAGCGATTCACCTAACAACTTAGATTGTGATTGAATATGGATTTGATTGGTTTGTTTTAACCATAGTTAATTTTAAAAAATGCGGCATTGTTAGTTGTTAGTGGAAATTTAAGTTTAAAATTAAAATATTATTTAAATTAAAATAATAAATGTTGATTTGATGTAAGAGTAGGAGAAAAATGATTGAAAATAATGATTAGTTAAAATTATGTGAGTAGATGAATAGTGCATTAAAGTTGATATGATGTGTAAGAATGATTAGTTGATATTATTTAATTATATTGATAATATTGAAGATAATATAGTTGAGTTACAAGTAGTTAAATTTGAGTTAAATTTGAGTTTTGATTGATTATTTTTTGTTAAGTTTATAACCAATCACACCATTAAATGGGATTGTACAACTTTAATTCCATGAACTTTGAACGTCAGTTTGTGTCTAATGTTTACAAAACATGATGCATTTTAAGTCAACAATCAAACAATTACTAACTTGGATAAAATGACAGGATAAAAAGTAAATTATGAGGTAAAAATGTGGGACCCACAAGACAATTTTATATGGTCTAAATCTATAATATGGTGGATTTTCAAGGGTAAAAGGAAAATTCGCATGCCAAATTTTGGACAAAACGGTCATTTGTAATGGTGGTATTAAATAGTCCCACCCTCAAGATCGGATAAAATAATCCTACCAACCGTGCATAAAAGTGTGAGAACTATAGGATACATCAACTTATTATTTAATCCCATCATGATTAGTAAACATTGAATAATAAGAGTTATTCAACCATATCCTATCTTATCAGCTTAAGTAAAAATGGCCTTAGATTAAAGTGTTGCAAATTTTAAATTCAAGTCAAAGTTTCAAACAATGGAGAAGAAGATGTGAACAAAAATATTAATGCTCCAAAGTCACGTCAATAGTCACACAACTAATAGAAGACAAGCATCATATTGGTCATAAAAAAGATAAAAGAAGTAGCATCATATTGGTCATGGTAAAAACACAAAGAGCTACAATTTGTGTAGTCGAGCAAACTTTAGAGCAAAATTCATTATATTAAAAAAAAAGAAAAGAAAAAGATATATTGAACTAAAACAATTAAATCTACTAATCGCATTACATATAACCAATATCGAAATACATTAAAAAATTTCCGTTAAAGAATACATGAATATTTTGGACTTGTGCAAGATGCAATTGTGTAGCGTGTCCACCGTACAAACTAATTTGTCATATATAAATTGATGGTTGTATGTTGGACAATTAAATGGGTCGGAAAAGCCTAAAACCCCAATTTATATATTTATTTATTTTCTTATGTGAAGAAATCAAATCCCATTACACAAAAATGGGCCAAATTCTCGTCTCACTCTCCATGCACGACACAGTGTTAATTCATTAAACACAGCCAAATTAGTTCACCAATATTACTAATTTGGCTGCCTGTAATTAGCACTACGCATTAAACACCCACACCTACTCCCAAATCCCAATTAATCACATTGACGGGTCCATAATATCATAATTGATTACTCACCTGTAATTTCAAGCTCTAATCTTTAGATATATCTCCTTTTTTCCCCTCATCATAATAAATCAAAAACCCAACCAACCAAACAAACAAACCCATCATCATCATCCATCATGGACTCTCTACTCCTCCTCCTCCCTTTCTCCCTCCATCTCCTTTCCCCTTACTATTACCACCTCCTCACATTACTCTTCCTCATTTCCCTATCAACATTATTATTCCTCATCAACAAGAACAACAACAACAACAATAACAGTAATAATCCGAAACTCCCTTCAGGCCCACCGGGCCACCCGGTCGTGGGCAACCTCTTCCAGGTTGCCTTCTCCGGCAAGCAATTCTTCGAGTACGCGCGCGACCTCATCCCAATCTACGGCCCAATCTTCACCCTACGCATGGGCTCCCGCACCATCATCGTCGTCGCCAGCGCCAGCCTGGCCCACGAGGCCCTGATCGAGAAGGGCCCGGTCTTCGCGACCCGCCCGAGCGAAAACCCGACCCGCACAATCTTCAGCTCCAATAAATTCACCGTGAACGCGGCCCTCCACGGCCCCGTCTGGCGCTCCCTCCGCCGCAACATGGTCCACAACATGCTCGCGCCAGCCAGAGTCCGCGACTTCCAAACTGTCCGCGAATCGGCTATGGACACTTTCGTCTCGCGCCTCCGCTCGGAAGCTTCCGAGTCAAAAGAATCCGCCGTTTGGGTCTTGAAAAACGCGCGCTTCGCAGTCTTCTGCATTCTACTCGAAATGTGCTTTGGAGTCGAGATGGACGATTGCACGATCGAGAGGGTCGACCGAGTCATGAGGGACGTGCTCCTCGCGCTTAAACCGAGGCTCGACGACTATTTTCCTTTACTCGGCCCGTTTTTTCCGAAACAGAGGACGAGGGTGCGCGACGTCAGGAAGCGCCAGATCGAAACCCTCGTCCCATTAATCGAGAAGCGTCGAAAATTTTCCCAAGGGTTTGCGTACCTCGACACGCTATTCGATCTAAAGGTCGAGGGCCGGGAAGCAACGGAAGAAGAGCTCGTGACGCTCTGCTCGGAGTTTCTCAACGGTGGGACGGACACGACGGCCACGGCGATAGAGTGGGCCGTGGCGCGGATGATCGAGAGCCCCGAGATCCAAACGAGGCTCTACGAGGAGATTGTTTCTGCCCTAGGGGTGAGGAAGGTGGAGGAGAAGGACGTGGAGCAATTGCCTTACCTCAACGCCTTTGTTAAGGAGCTACTGCGCAAGCACCCGCCCACGTATTTTCTCCTCACGCACGCTGTCACGGAGCGGACTAACCTGGCCGGGTATGATATCATGCCGGGGGCAAATGTGGAATTTTTCTCGCAGGCTATATCGGATGATCCGAATGTGTGGGACAACCCGGAGAGGTTTGACCCGGATCGGTTCTTCAAGGGGCGTGAGGAGGCGGATATTACTGGGGTTACGGGGGTGAAGATGATGCCGTTCGGGGCGGGTCGGAGGATCTGCCCCGGATTGGCGATGGGGACGCTGCATATAAGTCTGATGCTGGCGCGAATGGTGCAGGAGTTCGAGTGGTCGGCTTGTCCGGATGGGGCCAAAATTGACTTCAGCGAGAGGCTTATATTTACGGTGGTGATGAAGAATAGCCTCAGGGCAAAGATCAAGCCCAGAGCATGAGCCTCAGTTTAAGTGTGGTGTGGCTCAAATAATCAATTT